TGTGTGGGGGGGGGGGGGGGGGGGGGGGGGGGTGGGGGGGGGGTATGAAGCCTCTCGGCGGACTGGGAATCAGGCAGAATTTGGTCTCTGCTGAGACGTTTGTCTTTAATTTTAGCTGCATTTCCAAAATGCCCCAGAGTCAGATGTTTTGTCTGGCAGATTACACGTCTTTTGCTCAGAATCCTATCGCCAAATGCGCACCGTGAACGCCTTAAACCTGAACCAGCTGCGTTTTCAGTTCACCATTCCTTTTGGTTTGCAACAACCTCTCTTTGGGAATCTTGGAGTTATGTTGTTACTTATCTGAATTTGAAAAAACAAACAAACAAACAAAAAAACAACTCTTCCACCATTTAAATCATTTTGATGATGAAAAGAGCCCATTAAAGTTTTTAAATGAGCTTTTGCAGTCGGTCGGTTCGACCACATTGAGAGCAGGGAGCCCTGCCACACCTTGACGAACGCCTGCATTTCACAGAACAGCATAAAAGATTGGAGAATCCCCTCACGGACCAGTGCAGCCGGAGTGTAACGCATGCTGGAGTGGGATGTGTAATGCTCGGTCAGACACCTCTGCAGGGGGCTGGTGGTGAGTCAGTAATGAGTTGGCACTGAGTGGGCTGCTGTGGATTATCTGAGATCAACTTGATTTGCCACCAGGCCAGTTTTTTTTGTTGTTGTTGTTGTTGTTGTTGTTGTTTTTCTTGCTGTCAGATTCGGACATGTGCGCCATGGGAAAATCTTCCTACACACCGCCAGCAGCACACACGTCCTTAACTGTATGGGCTGTGATCTCACTGGAACTGGGTCAGAATTATTTTTAGAGTCTCTGTCCTGTCATTGACATCTCTAACTTTGACCTCCACGCTCGTCACATTCAGGACGCTGAGTGGCAAAACGGTTTAACAGAGCAGACATGGCTTGGAAAAATCATGCAACCAAGCAGAAGGTGGTCTTAATACACTCCCGTGGATTAAGTCTGGGTTTGTTTTTTTTCCACAGCACGGAACGTCAGGACAAACCCAGAGGACACGAGAAAAATATATTTAAAAAATAAAAAAAATTTCCAAGCTTTGCATTTCCTAATACCCTTTAGCTTAATGGAGCAGATGTTGCCACGCCTACAGGCAGACTACCTGACCCGGTCCAGGTCAGAGCGACTACAGTCTCCGTGTTGGCAGATGGAGTGGAGCTCTGTGGGTAGGGAAGAGGGATGGCACTAAACCTCTGGAGATTCCCATAAACCGCCTCACGAACCGTCCAGAAACACGCCGAATGTGCTGAGCCACCGTTTCTGGCTTAGACATAAAGGTCAGACTTGTGCGTAGCTAATAAATATGCAGTCATCAGATTCTCCTGATGAAAATTGAGATCTGAGGGACTTATGAAGGTAAATAGTTGCTTAGGATTTTTTTATTTTTTTTTTAGGTTTATCAGGCTGAAGGTGGCAGGAAACAAATGCACATTTTTCAGATTTCTATTTGTGAAACAAAAATGTATTTCCACTTGATAACTGTGAACTAGCTTGTGTTGGTCTGCAACACAAAGTCCCAACCAAACAACTCTGATATTTGAAGTTGGAATCGTTACTATATATTGAAGTGTTCGACGATTTAGTAAAGCACTTCATGCGGAATTTTCTGATATATTTTATTTGTCTTGGGACAAAATCATTAAGCATAAAATCTGGTTATACCAGAACAACTGGTTGTTCTGGTATAACAACCAGTTAGGAGTACTTTTAGGAATAAAAATACTCCTAAAAGTATTTTTTTTTCTAAAAAAGTTACTCAAGTAAATGTAATTGAATAAATATAACTAGGTACTGCCCAAATCTGCTCCTTAAGAACTAGCATCTATTTTTATTTCGCCTGGTTGGACAAATTAAACCAAAATAGTGTAAAATTCTCTGCAGTTAAAAGTGACTGCAAAAACATGAGTTCAGTTTTTTTCTGAAAATTTACAGATTTAGAAAACCCTATTTCGGTGCGCTTACTCACCATGGATATGATTTCTTATTTGGAGGAACTCTACATCTCATCGAGGACTGATGACTTTGCTGTCAACAAAATTACTTTAATGTTACAAGTAATGTTCAGGACTATTTTTTTTGTCATTTATCCACTCACTTGCATGTAACGCGTATGGGTCATAAAGACCTGTCCCATTTACTGATGTAGCATAACATATTTTATTACAGTTCATAAACAGTGATAAAATAGTGATAAACAGTTATAATGTTAGCTAGTGAATGGCAGGTCACTATGGCAACCAGTGACAGTTTAACGATGCATAGAGTTGAAATGATTACATAAAATATACTAAGTACATATATTTCTTCCCACTTTTTGATGCACTCCCCAAAACTGAGAGTCTTAAAAATGTCCAGTTTGAAGTGCTTATGTCAACTGAAGCCAAAGACGAAGGTATTAAGTTGGTTGTCGCAGCTGTAATTATAAATAATTATTAAATATAGGTGATTTTGGTGCTAATCCGGACCACATTGGGCAGTTACACTCATTTCCTCTCCCATCATCCCGGTTCTATTCAGGTCACAGTGATGAGCGTAGCACCAGCAGTGTTACCTAACACGGCGCTTGGCCTGTTTTAAACAGCTGGGTCACTTTGAGCCGTTCTGGGACAGAATGCAGTATCACTTTTCTGAGATGCCCCAGCAGCGAGAGGCCCGCCTGGGAGATGTGTGAGGATGACTTTCTGGAGGGGCCTGCTGCGGTTTCCCACCTGTGCAAATGAAGCTCTGTGAAAACGCATGCCTACCTCTCTCTTGGTTGTACCACTGTGCTCGGTGGTCTGAGGCAGGATGCTTTGCTGGAGGCTCGAGGGGCTGAGGGAGCTGCCGGCTCGCGTGGCAGCCGGGTTGTGCTGAGCGGCGGGCAGAGGCTGGATGTTGGAGGCAGCAGATGGGGGGATGAGCTCAGCCTTTTGCCCGCTCATGGCCCTGCTGACCTCCCCGCTGTAGGCGGCCTGATAGCTGGTCTCACGTGGGATGTGGGTTGCCCCCCCCACTGGGCTGGAGTATTGAGCTGTGGGGTTTCTCCTCGCACTCCTGGCTGGCTTCACCCCAGTCCATGGCCTGTACTCTTGCCTGGAGAAAGAGAAACTGATCAATACGCAGGAGCTTTCATAGCAGGGTTGATGTTGAAATTGCAAATTTTCTGCTTCAAAACTCGGCCAAAAGAATGTTATCAAAAACCAGAAAGAGCAAATACATCACACCAATTTTAAAGTGTACCATCTTAGGACCATTTTACTTGAAACACGCAGCTTTTCTGATGGAACATTTCCAAAGCTTGAACTGGGAGATTTAACAAGGCCTGACCCTGAGATAATGGATTGGCGTATTTTAGCTTCTTTTGTCAAGTGTCTTTAACTATTTCGTTTGTAGGATGTGTTGGTGAGGTTCTGTTTAAAATCTTTACTATCACTTTGTGCTGCACAGAGCTGTAGGAAATATACTATTAGTGATTGGCATTGTCATATAACCTGCTGAGTGCTGAGTAACCTTTTTTTCTGGGAGTTCATTCCTGAAATGAAAACGCAAATATAAATTAAATACTCATTTCTAAGTCGTTTTAGTGCATTCATCTGGAGCGCTTGTAGGAGTGTTATTGATTATCAGCTCTCCTCCCTCTCTGTGCAGCCTGCTCTCTGAGTTCCAGCATGGATTTCTCTCACCTATAAATAAGCTCAGCCTCATTAGGCATGAAAGAAGACATCAGCACACAGCTTTCCTCGCTGGGACGGTGACGGAGTGGACAGCGCCTGGTGCTGAAACAAGTAAAAAGCACCTACCTGTAGGAGCTGGTCTTGTTCTCCTCCGTCACCTGCTGCTCCAGCCTGTCCCCCCGCCTCTCCCCAACCTGCGCCTGGAGGTGGAAGCTGTTCACCGGGCTGCTGTCCGAAGCGCCGTCCCCCCTGCTGCCCCCGTTACTGATCCAGGGGAAGTTATCCTTCCTAGGAATGGGCCAGGGCTTGAAATCCTGCTTGTACTGGGTGACGCTGGGGAACGGCACGCCGGGCGGGTGGTAGTCCTCCCGGGGCTTGTAGCTGGGCTCCCTCCGTGCCCTGGAGGGTCCTCGGGGTCCGTCTGCGGGCGCATGAGGGGAGCCTCGGACGCGCGGCTCCGGGGCGGTGTAGTTGTTCTCCGAGTCGGAGAGCTGCTTGGTGACGGAGCGCACCTCCTGCTCCGCGATGTCCGAGTAGTTCTGGATGGTCAGCGGGACCGAGAGGTCCGATTTGTCGAATTGATTCCAGAAACGAGCCAGGCAGCACACTCTGCTGATGCACGGCCAAGCCATAGCATTGACTCTACTCCTCCCGCCACCCAAAAAAACAACAACAAACAAACAAACAAACAAAAAAACTGTTAAAAGAAAAGAACAGAAAAGAAAGAAAAGAGTGATGAAAGATCAGAGGTTACATTCAGACAGAGAGTCGCTCTCCTCCCTCCACGCCTGTCTCCGGGAAGCTGAGCCCATGTCGGCAGGCAGCAGAAGAGATGAGCCGGTGTCGGTCTGTCGGGGACCGTCTGAACATCCCTCTCACGTGGTCTGTGATAGTGCTCCCACTATGCAGAGGAATGGGAGACCAGTTCCTCCCCGCATCTCCAGCCGGATCCCATCGGTGTGACTGGACTCGCACATCCTTGTGTGCCCGTCTCTACTTCAGAAGATCCTCGCACGCTTGACCACAAGATCTTTTAAACAACTACTTCTTCAGTTAGCAGATCGCGAACATTACAGTGTAGCTGAACGGTGAGGTTACATAACTTCGATGCGGCGCTTAAAGTAGGCTACAGTGGGATGCATGAAGGTGTGAAGGCTGATCTGCCGTACTTTTAAGCTGTAATGCCTCCTGGGATAATCTGGAGAACATCAGACTCGCATTTCCTTCCGTCTGAGTGTCTCAAGAAAACTCGGTTCGTTTTATCCTTGAGATCAGTTTCAGTCTCCCAATCATTTATCATTGTTTTTCTTAAGTTTTCTTGGTGCTCCCTATTAAAAGTTATATTTCTCAGGCCACTTTTAGAGACTAGTAAGGACAATATGAACATTTTCTTTTAACCATACTACATCATATTAACGTGAAAAGTTTACTTAACCTATTTTTATCACTTCATTTAATATGAGTGACAGCTTTAAGTCATTTTGTTGTAACTTAAGTTCAGTATACATTTAGCTCTAGCAGTAAGGGTTGAAGTTACTGTTCATATCACACAAAGACAACCCGAGTAAGTAAGAAAATAGTTTTCCAGTTATGAATTTATTCATTAAGTGAAAAAGTTACTTTCCCCCCTTCTCTTTTACTGTTTAGTCCATGTTACATGACTCTGTGTTTAGTTTTTAATGATGTAAAGTACTTTGAAATGCCTTGCTGCCGAAATGTGCTGTACAAATAAAATTTGATTGATTGATTGATTGATTGATTGATTGATTGATTGATTGATTGATTGATTGATTGAACCAACCTCTGTGAAGAAGTAACGCCCCCCTAAACCTAATGACTCGTCTTTTAGTTTTGATAACCATAACCCAGGGTAATCACTGGGTGTCAAGTCAACTAAGTCTTGCTATAAAGAGCAATGTTTGGTGAAATAAGGCTGTGTTGGCATCAATTGAATGCTTTAGCTGCTTCTAAGTAAAGGCCCAGTAATTAATTCACTGGTTCTTCTTCTACTTGTTTAATGGTGGTGTCAAAAAACTTAATGGAGCATTTACAGCCGCCAAGTGGTGAGGAAACAGACACTGATTGTCCGTGTGTTTTAAATTCATTTGAAAAGTTTAAATTACTCGTAAATACGTTAGTTAAAGGTCTTAAACTTAGTGGTGGCAGGACTATATAATCTCGTATATTTAATGTCTCGTGGTAAACGCACCATTATTGGAGCTTCCAATGGAAAACAATGACGCTGACGCGCCTCCACATAGACTTTGAGTGTAAACCAGATGCATCAGCTCTAGCCATTGTTTTCCGTTGGATGAAGTGCATATAAAGTTGTGAATTAACTACTATTCTTTTGTCTTTGTCTGCAAAGAAAATATCATAAAGCATAACTTATTTTAAATGTGTTATGTGACAGGTTCCAGAAGAGCTGCACATATGCATGTCTTAAAAGTCTTAACTGTGATATTTGCAAAGCTTGAGTAAACATAGGTAACATTTAAAAAAAAAAATGTCTGCTGATATGTTAATCGCTAAAGAGTGATTAATAATACCAAGATCACAATCCTTCAGCAAAAGCTATTTTTCTTAAAACTCGCACAAGAAAATGATTTGAAAATGAACAAACTGAGTGTTACAATAAAAAATATTTAACAATAAATTTCTTTTTACAAGGCAACTTGTTAAACCAGTGGAATAACACTCATTTCATCCTCCAAATGGCACACTGTCGTGTTGGGGGCCGCTGTCGTCCCCCAAAGTTCCCGCTGTGCCTCTTGCATCTCCAAAAATTCACGCCGTGGGTCCGGTGTCCCCCAAGGCTTCTGTTGCCGGCATCCCCCAAGGTTCCCGCTCTGCCACCAGCGTCCCATCAATTTTCCGTATCCCTTAAAGCTAATGGTGCTTGGAAAGTGAGAAAAAATTTGAGGTAAATTCTTTTACCTCAAATTCTGAGGTAAAAAAAAATTTACCTCAAAATTCTTTTGAAGTACCACTGCACAGCCACACTCACCTGTGCAGTGAGTGTAGCTGTGTACCTGGAGGTAGCTTATCAGCAGGCTTTACTGGCCTGTCAAATGAGCTTGCGGAAAACCTAAAAGGTGGAGGCCTGAGACTGCAGGCCTCCGAGAAAGGAGATAATAGCCAGGTGTGGCGGAACAGCATAGTCGGTCATTTGTGTTCGCAGGGCTACGGGAGTTTTTTGATTTCGAGAAATCCAAAAAACTCAAGGCAGCAACCAGTACCTGAGCTTTCCCGATTGATACATGGTCATAAAAATATGCCCTACTCTGTTACCAGCTCTTTGGAACATTGTTTGTTCCAGGCTCTCTTCTGGGTTCTCCTCTTTACTGGGACATCCTCGGTTTTTGTCTCCTCTTTCTTCGGTTCTCCTCCTCTGAGAACCTGACATTTTGGTTTGGTCTAAGGAGAATGTTGACCTCTCCCAGGATGTTAGAAAGTCCCTTAGTGCTTGAGGACACATCCTGCTTCAACTTCTTTGTCGACTCTTTGGTGTCTTTTGATTTCTGGACTTCCTTCTGAAGCTCTCTTCCAATTGCTGCCAACATGTAATTAATGCTTTGAATTTTTATCTTCAAAGCAAAGTTCTCTGTGCATGGCTTCTCTTTTTCTGCTTTAGCCTTGTCCAGTTTTAAGCATTTCTTCCTCAATGAGGCCTCTGCATTTTTCATGTTTGTCTTATGTGTCCGTTTTAGGAACACATTCGACCTCTTTATGGTATTCAAAGCAGTTTTCAACTTATGAATTGCACTTTTTAGCTTCCTCCAAGTCGCTACTGAAAAAAAGAAGAAAAAAAGAAGAGGAAACCTATAAATGGTAATGTAATATTGCCACCTGCAGGAAAGATATGGCATTACTCTTGCATTTTGAGGCATTTCCCGAATTTTCCCTTAAAAAATACATAATTTTCCGAATGCCAAAGAAGTATGCATGACATTCTGGTTGAGTTAAATTTGTACATGTAGTAGTAAAGATAACCTATAGAAGAGGATTAGGATCACTAAAATAAAAGTGAAAAGAATTCTGACTTTTCTCAGAATTGTGAGGACAAAAATCAGATTTTTCCCCCAGTGACCCTAATCTTTTTCTGTGAGAATCTCATACAAATAATATTCAAAAGTGTTTTTTTCCCCCTTCAAAACAGCCTAAAATGAATCAGTTCCACATAAATTGCATATAACTCGCCGATCCACGTCAACAGAAAGAAAGTTGTAGCTTCACTTATATCAAAAACTAGAAAATTTAAAGTGAGAAACTGTTGAGAAGACAGAGAGCTCATATGGCAATTTAGGAATAAATACAATTCTAAAACCTATCCACAAATTAGAAATGTTAGAAAAATGTAAAAGAGCAAAATTTTATAAAATCTAAAGCAATAGCAGGCTTCAATAAGCATAAACATTGTCCTAATGCAACAAAATAGAATAAACTTAACCTATTAAATAGTGAATAACCAATAAAATTAAATTAAAAACCAGACTGACAAGTTTTCAGTTTGGTTTTAAAACCATGAACATTCGCAGCTGCTCTCAGCTCTTCAAGGAGGATGTTGTGTGGACGTTCAGACAGTTGTTAATGTTTCCCAATGTCACAGTACAGATAAGACAAAGGATAACAGACCAGCAAGCACATGTTTTTGGCAGCTAACGTGACACAGAACATATCAGGGTATCAGTAGATCCAGCAGCTGGTACTGATTTGCAGCCTGCTTGTGATGTTCATTTTATTTTATCCTTGAAGTAAAAATGAGATGCTGAGATATTTCCCGTGCAAATTATAGGTCAATAGTTCTGCCACCTATATAAAACGGTAATTTATTTTGTGAAAAACTGCTGAATTTGAGCTCTATGCAATGTTACAGACACAGGTTTTGAAGAAAGCAACTTTTTTTTTGCTTTATTTCGCTTTTCCCCTAATAAATACATTTCAAAACTACTTTTTGCATTGACTTTTATACTTGTGATGCTAAAATAACGGAGTATGATGATCTGAAACATTTAAGTGTGACAAGCAAAATAGAGAACTCAAAAATCTGTACGGAGGCATACTTTTTAAATAGTACTGTAGGTTTAATAATCATGTTGAAAGACATATAACCACAAAAATATAATCATTCCCTTTAAGTGTAATCATCCTCTCTCAGCTTATTTTAATGAAGCGCTTAGATTTGACAACTTTTCGAACCGCATTTGAAAGCCTCATCACTGCAGGACACCCACGTGTTACTCGTTGCTCCGCCTCCAAAACGCTCACTTTACAGATACTTTGAGAAAATGATCCGTATTAAAAAAGTAACAGTTTAATTTAATGTAATTTAAGTTAATTTTCAGACTTTTATGGTGCAACAGGTATGTCCTTGCTCTAAATTAGCCCAGGGTGTCCGGAGACTATTTGCTCAAACCACAACACGTGGATTCATCGCTGTTTGGAAATTTTCCGGGTTCGACGGAGGAACTGAGGCAGCCGAGTGGTTTAAAACACTTCACGTCCAGCTCAAAGCCAACTGCTAGTAAGTAATGTTGACTTTAAATAGTTATGATTCGCATGCAGGAAACGCTGCTGGCTTTCTTGCTTCTCTGCCTCTGCGCCGTTTGTTGTGCCGCGCATGCGCTGTGTGAGTAGGAAAGCTACTAGTAAAGTTCCCACAGCCTGCTGTTTGACATTGGAGTTAAAAATGACATATTTTGTCAAACTACTGCCACCTATTTTAAAATTATAACAAAGGAAAATGTTGGTGTTAGAGGGGAAAATGCAATCCCGTTGGCAAAACACAAACCACTTTTTTTTAATCCCATCTGGTATCTGCAGTTTGCAATTAAAATGAATATTATTTTATTAGAAAAATATTAACCATGTAGAAGTGAAGGTGACCCTCATAGACTTGGGTGTTTATGTGAATTTGACACATTAATGGAAACCACAGATGTTTCAGTCCAATGATTAATTGGTGTATGTTTCACTTTAATCAGTTTTTACCATAAAACTCTTGTCTTTAAATTGTCTGTCTCCTAAGCACTTTGTAGAACTGTTTAGATTTACTACTGATGTGGCTAAAAGATGTTCCTGGTACGGTCCGGAGTGAAAACTTGTTTATCTTGTCTTATTATAGACAACATGGAGTACCTGCCGGATAAAAACTCCAGCTACAAAGACGTTGCCTACTGGGATGACAGGTACAGGACGGAGCAGCACTATGATTGGTTGGGCAGTTTCTCCAGCTTTAAGCACCTTCTGGAAAAAATCATGAAGAAAGAAGATTCCATCCTCATACTGGGTTGGTGTTCTTTCTTCTGTCCTGACCTCATAGCAATTCACCGTAAAAATTGAAGATGTTTCGATGTTTTTGCATGTTGCCGCAGAAACTGATGTGTGCATTTTGCTTCACAGTCAGTGACATTTTTTAAGCAAGGGTCCAACCTTTTGCACAAACGTGTGTAACGGCAGAAAAGTTTTCGTGACAGAATTTGGAACACCTCGTTAATTTCTGAGGTGCACCCTGGATAATTGATGGCCTCGGACTGCTTATGCCCCTTTCTTTGAGTTTGGGTGGCTGTGTCAGACGTCAAGGCTCCTTTCTCGCTCAGTCATTCCTGTCACCTATCCTCTATCCGCTGTCAAATTAAAGATCAAATCCATGACACTCCGTGTCATTATGTCTGTCCCTTATCATTTATATGGTTTCACTCCCTGTCATTATGAACAAACGTGGTCATAAAACCTTCCCAGCCATTGGCGTTGAATGTTTGCTGGTTATACTTTGAAACATCCATAGGTTTCTAATACAGCTGCATACCAAATATTTCTGATAATGTTAAATAGGATAAAAATAAAATTCCAAACAATAATAAACTAGTTATTGTAAATCATCTATTTGCAAACTATTGTTGTAATAAGCTAGCAAGTAAAGACCAGAAATGGAGTAGGGGAAAACATGCATGGAAGTGTACCTTTTCAAATGAACGCAATAAGATTGGGAGCACACTCTGGAAAGAGGAGCTCTGCCGAAATCAAGCTTTTAGTCTTACATGCAGAGGATGATTGACGAGGTGGAAAACTAACTCTGCACATTTCCCTGAACACACCATCCCAGTGCTGTAATAGCTGACTACCCTTGCACCAATCTGTCTGTATGCGAGATCATTTTGATGCAAACTGACGATAGCTGTGCACTTTTCTCTGGAGGTAACGAATGCTAACAAAAGAAGACAATTATTCCTAGAACAACTTAGTTTGGGGATTGTTTTTGTGCCTGGGTAAATGCAGTGGAAATTAATATGCAAATAGAAAGCTCCCAGCAATGCATTATTATATGGGTTTCATCAATTTACGTAAAAATTTAAAAACAATGTCAACTGTCACCTCAGAGGAGGATTTTTGCAAAGTTTGACACAATTTAGAGTCACTGCAAAGTTTCAACAACCCTGGCTTTACTTTTCTATTGTTGACATTGCAGCAAATTTCCACAAGGTGTCACTGTTGCATCAACATAAATTTGATTCCGTTGCACAATTTCATACATGCCTGTTCTATTCTGTGTGGCACTTCTTTACTATAAAGCGAGACTACATTTTATTACGGCATTATGTTTGCCTTATGCTTAAGTCTCTTCTTCCTGGATTGATATGTGATCACAAAAAAGTGCAGAGATGTGCTGTTGCTAAAGATGTTGCTTTAAGCTGTGTTTTTCCCCCTCTTCCATCCCACACCCACTTATACACATACATTGAAAATGGTAAAATGGCATTAGGGTAACTTCTTTTATAGCCAGACTTAGCTATTTCTCCAATTTAAGCCTTGTTTCTGCATGGTTTGAACCGTTTTATTGGGGGTGTTGGTGTGTGTGTGTGTGTGTGTTGAATCTGTGTCAGGAAATCACGGGAGGTCTCTGTTAGGTGTTTGAGAGCTGGAGGGGATGATGAGGTCAGTCAGAAGCTCTATGCTCTTCTTTACCTTCTTCTTATTCTCTCCCTTCTGGATTTCTTCCCTTATGTTCCTTTGATTTTCCAGTGGCAGTAAAAGGACTGAGAGGTATACTACACTGCACCAGCCAGCTAGGTTGACTGTTTTCTAAATGCTGATACAAACAGAAGTAAGAGCCTCCAAAACGAAACAATCTTGCTCGCTTGTGAGCAGTTTGTGCTTTTTAACAACTGACAGCTCAGATGGCGTACCACAGAGGGAACCAAAGATGTGAGAGAGATTTCATATTTTATAGAAACCAAGCTCTCTTCAGAGGTTGCCAGCCACAAATCTCACCAGCTACATTCATTTGTCATATTTGCATTGTCTTGCGCAGAGAGGAAGCAGGTACAGTTTCCAGATGTTTTACTGTGCTGAGACGACGCAGAGGAAGGAAAAAAAAAACAAGGGAAAATACTTGATGAAGTTTTGCTGAGTCAATGAGGAAAGCAAGCAACTGATCTGGTGCAGATTTGGGATCCTCAGCTCTGAGACGGAGGTCATTCCTGTTAAGAAAATCTGAGCCGAACACAGAGAGGGGGAGAGCAACAGTGTGTGTGTATGGTCAAGAAAATATAAAGAGGCACCAGATCCAATAATGCAGATGCGTTAAAGGTTTGGTTCAATGCTACATGTGCTAGCTTAGCACCTTAAATAAAAGCTTCTGAGAACAGTTATATATATATATAAATATATATATATATATATAAAAAAAGCATTTTCAATTATATTCTAGTTATCTGTGATGAATCTGTATATATACATGAGTACATAGTGGTGGGATCTGGGTTTTTAATTAAAATACATGAAAGGTTCTTTGTAATTTTTTTTTCCTGGGTAAAAAGAAAACCAATTTTATTTTTTCCATCTTAAAAAGGCTCATCTTGATGATTTACCTGTTTTCACTTTGTATTTTCTCATCGTAGGCGGGCCTCAGCATGACCAGCATTTACAATCAGAGAGAACGAACAGGCCCCTTTGTTGCATTTACATAAGGGTGCGTTCTTTAAATGCATTATTGATTTTCTAATCCTTCATCTTTCAACTGGGTGGTAAACTCATTCATAATAGCATATCTTGCACAGAAGGTCCGCTGCCTACTCAAGACACCCACTTCGTTCTCTTTGACATTTAGTCAGCGTTGTTTATGCTTCAGAAAGATTTCATTAAATTTTTAGTCTGAAAACATAATAAAAATCCTCTAATTATGAAACGGAGCTGCAGGTTTTTTTGTTCTGTGCAGCTTTTTCTTCCTTCCTTTCTTTCTTTCTTTCTTTCTTTCTTTCTTTCTTTCTTTCTTTCTCTCTCTCTCTCTTTCTTTCTCTCTTTCTTTCTTTCTTTCTTTCTTTCTTTCTCTCTCTCTTTCTTTCTTTCTTTCTTTCTTTCTTTCTTTCTTTCTTTCTTTCTTTCTTTCTCCCTCTCTCTCTCTCTCTCTCTCTCTTGCTTGCTTGCCTGGTTGCATGCACAGCTAAAGATCTGGAGGGGTGTGTGTGTCACACCATCGCATCAAAGCAGTCCCTGGCCGTCCATCTGACTAGTGTCTTCGCTTCCATCATTATAAAGAATTAACGGCGATCGCCTCATAGGTGGCCCACTTCCTTCTCGCTGTGTTTGTGGCCTGCCCTGAGCTGCTGCTGCTGATGTAATGACCCCGTGTTTCCCAGTGGTCAGCGCTCATGCTTGTTCCCCATGGCGATGGACGATGATGCAATGGCACTTTGATCCTGATGCATGTGTGGTTGTATTCCACGAGCATCTGAGGTCAGCACACCTGGTACAGCATGACGTACAGTCTCCGCAGTTGGGTCCGGAACTGCATTAGAAGGTTAAACAGGCAAATAAAATATGCGTGGTAGCTTTACAGCTTCAGGTTCAGTGCTGCGCAGTAGGTTGGCAGACCTTCAGGATGACCTCTGGGGCTTGCATCGGTCCGGCGGTCGGATGCTGTTACTGAGGAACTGAAGGGAATCTTGTTTTTTTTTTTTTTTTTTTTTTTTTTTTGTCAGTTTTGCTGTAATGGTTTTGAATTAAAGACAGAAACGTTGAACCTCTCTTATTAAAAAGTGTTCATATTAATTATTGAAGTTTCTTTGCATTAGGTTGTTTTGCCAACCCCAGCTATCCCTCGCCGAACGAATAAACAAATCCATTACTGCATTAATGAATAAAGGTTTTCTGTTAATCTTTCAACTGCATCCCATCACAATCTTCAGCATATAATGACTGCTTAATGTGAGACGTTCCATTAAAAGCATGTAGGTGGGCTGTGACGTCTTCTGTTAGTCTCATTGGGTTGGACATCTTGAGACACAAGCTCGTTCACATTTGTACGTAAATGTGCGATTTTAATAAAATCTAGACAAGTAAACTGCAAATGCACCCAATTTTTACATGGAAACCGAAAGTTGTTGGTCCAGTTCCATCTTCCACTGCTGCTACATGCTGCAGTGGAAATGCACTTAATCCTAAATGGAAGACTTCAATATATTTTAATGGGATTTTAAGCGATAAGAAAAAATGGGGCTTAACCAGCACTCCAAAATATTCTTAGGGTTAATTAGGAAAGTCTTATTATCTGCTGGTAATTTTGTAAAATGCAACAAGCATTCTAACTTATTCAAGAAAGCTTTTTTAATTGAGGTGCTGTGGCATGATCACAAACATGTTGTTCATAATGGAAAACTATTGATTGTGGCTGTATTAATAATTCTGAGTTAGAGGAGTTAGGTTGAAGCACCTTAACTATTTTTGTTTTGCAAAATGAGACGCATGACCATTATTTACACGTCTGGCAGCAGGAGTTTTGTTACACGATAAGTCAATGAGAAAGAAATGAATGTAGCATATCTTTATGCAAGTTGAAGGGCTGTAAACTAATGCTTTTTAAAAAGTGTGATCAACAGATTAATTTGAGACCTTGCTGTAAAAACTGTATTATATTTATTTTTTCATTATTTTAAAGCTGTTTGCTTGATAGGATGCATCTTTTTTGCCTCTAAAAGACTTAATAGCCTACATATAAATTAATTTTACCCTGCGGCATTATGAATGTACCCACACACACACAACACAAAGGAACAACATGCTGATGGCATGGAGAATCACTGGGGTTTGAAGTCATGGCAGACGTCATAGATATCAGATCTCCTGGAGAGTTTGTGTTGGATTCGTGCATCTAAATTTCCAGAACTGTCCATGAAACATTTGCTTTTTTTGTGATTAGCATAATTCCTTCTCCTATGTATGTACAAAAACACACACACACACACACATATATATATATATATATATATATATATATATATATATATATAT